CCGCGTCCCAGTGGTCGTACTCATAGCGCCGGCGCCGCAGCTGGGGCTCCAGTTCACGTGTCAGCGTGTCCTCCTCCGCCTGGCTCAGAAAGCCAGGCCGCACCACGGCCTCATCGCGCAGGCGGCTCAGCACGGCGGGGTCCGAGCCGCGAACCCAGCCACACCCAGAAAGCATCCGCATCGCCAGGCGCCCGCTTGCCGCCATCTTCAGGCGACCGCTTAAAAGACGGCCCATGTTCCCGCAAGCTATTGGCTGAGGCCAGCTCTGAGCCCGCCTCCTACCGCATGCTATTGGACACGAGCTCGTTCTATTAGCTGTGCCCCAGACCGTCTAGTGTTGGTCCCGCCTCTGGGCCCTGACTTGATCTCTCTGGTTCGTGCTTGAGGTGCTGAATCTGGGCTAACCGAGGCTTGGGGTCACGTGGGGCAAAGTCAAGGTTAGAGGTTCACGGCGTGCTAGTACGGGCCCGACAGCTGCTATTCAGCACACCCTAGCGGAGAGAAGGGGAATGGCAACTTCAACCTGAACTACAGGAAATGCTGCCCAAACAATAAAAATAAATAAAACGCTCAAACAAATAAGACCCATTAATACAACCCACCTGTTCTGAATTTAAAAGCAAAAACTGTCTACCACCCTAATAACACCTGGGCTCACGAAGATGGCTCAGCAGATAAAGGCACTTCCTATGGTGCCTGGTAGCAGTGGTGTGATCCTCAGGACCACTGCTCCCCTCCCCCCAACACACAGTGGAAGCAGAGAAGTCACTCCTGATCTCCACAGAACACTGGCACCTGCCCCCTCTCCCACAAATAAACGTGTCCAATTTCCTTTTTTAGCTATATCTATATACCCAATCCTCTTCTTCCCTTTTTAGTAAAAAGTCCACAAAAATTTTCCCTACTATTCTTTCTGGCTCCAGCCTGCTTTTGGATCCTATGGCAAAGAGCCAGGTCTCATGGGTCTGAGGATGGTGGCTCCTCCATGTCGCGTCTGGTGGACCTCCAGCCCACTTCCAGGGACAGAGACAGGCTCAGCAGGTAAGATGTACTTCTCTCAAGTTCCAGCACCCACAGGGAAGCTCCAGGGACCCAATACCCTCTTCTGGCCACCAGGGGTACTGCACTCAGGTACACAAACCACACAATCAAAACCATAGTTCTACCTACTGGCTTTGGGCTAGTAAATGGCTTAAAAGCTTGCTAACAGCCAGGCACGGTAGAGCACACCTTTAATCCCAGCATTCAGGAGGCAGAGGCAGGAGGATCTATGAGTTTGAGGCCCAGCCAGGTTCACACAGAGAAACCCTGTCTCGACAAACAAACAAAGTGGTTTGTCGTGGAGTCAAAGTGAAAGCGGCCTGATGTCTTGGAGAGGTAATGGAAGTGCCTCAGACATGGGACAAAAACCACAAAGGTTTAATGTAAAGTCACAGTGTCTCAGGCCGGCGGGCAGCCTCAATCCACATCTTCTTCAGGGGTACCTCTGGGCTCAGCAGACAGAGTGTGGAGCAGTCCTGGGTCTCACACTCCTAGAGATGAGGTCAGGCCCTAGGTACTCGCTGGGGCAGGAGAGTCGGCCGGTGCTGTGGGAGTCTCCTTTTGTACCAGTTCTGGTTCATCCTCCCCATCCTGAGGTGGGTGCACCAAGACCTTGTCCAAGATGCCAAACTCTTGGGCCTCCATGGGGCTCATGTAGCGGTCCCTCTCCATGGCCGACTCTGGTGGGAAGCAGTACATGTAAGTCAGAGCAGAAACCTGGGATGCTTTCCCCAGCAGATACCTAGGTTGAAGTCCCCACCAGCAGCAGATGATTTATGAAGTTTTGAGGATGGGACAACAGGATCAGTGCCGTTACTAAAAGAGAAAACCACTTGAGAGGCTAGAGCAGGAGGATCCAAAGTTCAAGGCCAGCCAGGGATACAGACCAAGATCATGTCTTTAAAAAAAAAAAAGTCAATTGGTAGAGCACTGGTCTAGCCTGCTCTGTGCCCTGATTCCGTCCCCAGAACCACCTGTAATTCCAACAAGGCAAAGGGTTGGGAGCTGAAGGTCAAAGGTTGCCTTCCAGGCACCAGCTGTCCCTGACCATCCTGCTTCCAGGACTCAGAAACCCATTCCTAGCATTTTATCTTCCAGCCCCACAGCGTGTTCCGGCTTCCTGAGTTAAGACACGCACTCTGACAATTGTTTCCCATGGGGCTTGGAACTTCTCTGTGTCTCAGTTTCCCCAGCAGTAAGAAATACATGTTTTCAGGCAGGAGCTCATGTAGCCCAGGATGGCCTCAAAGGGATGACTCCCGATTCTCCTGCCTGTACCTGCCAAGTGCTGGGAACGACAGGTGTGCACTACCACAGTGAAGAGAATCACCTCCTGAACACTGTCCTCTGGCTTCTACACGTCACAGTACACGCATGCCCACACACACCAGCAACAAGACAGATCAAAGAATGGCATGCGGGCCAGCCACACGGCTTGGCAGGAAGAGGTGCTTGCTACCAATTCTGCTGGGCTGGCGTTCAACCACCACAATGCACAAAGTATCAGGAGAGAGCTGATCTCTACAAACTGTCCTCTGACCGCCACATATCCACTGTGGCAGGCACATGCTCCCCAAATCAACCATTCTTAAAAACGAATGTCACAGGCACCAGGGAAACCCTGCTGGCACCAGTATCCCTTGCTACCTCCCCCCACCCAAATACACTCTGTCAAAACAGCACGGACCGACGGAGCCAGTTTTCATGGCTGATAGTTGGAGAACTGGCTCGGATGGACCAAGAGACCTTGTTCTGGCAGAGGACCCTGGTTCAATCCTGAGCACCCACACAGCAGCTCACAATTGTTTATATAACTCTAGTTCAAGGGGATCTGACACCCTCTTCTGACCTCCACAGGCACCAGGCACACATGCAATTCACAGACATACATGCTGGAAAAACACTCATATACATATAATAAAAAAAAAAAACAAATGAATTTTTAAAAAAAGGGAAAGAAATGAATATTTGTTTTGTTTTGATTTTTGAGACAGGTTTCTCTGTGTAGCTCTGGCTGTCCTGGAACTTGGTTTGTAGACCAGGCTGGTCTCAAATTCAAGAGATCTGCCGGCCTCTGCCTCCCAAGTGCTGGGATTAAGGGCGTGGACCACCACTACTTGGCACAAAAATCTATACTTAAGGCACACCCCCATCCCCTCACTGGGGATTCTAGGCGGGGCTCCACCCCTGAGCCACACCCCCACCATTTAGAGACACCTGGCTCTCAGCATTGGAAGGGGTCACAGGCTCAGAGCATTTGTAGCCAGTGAGTCTGCTGCCCACGCCCAAGGCCCAGGGTGACCCCACCACAGTCATGTCCAGCTGGGGAAGTCCTGGCTCAGGACAATGCAGTCCATGGAAGTGCTGAACGGGCTGGGTGCTCACCGATCACCTGCAGGCTCTGCTTCGTGTGTTTGGCATAGATGTTGTACAGCTGCTTTTTCAGCTTCATGATCTCCTCGGCCTGGATGGCGATGTCTGTGGCTTGGCCCTGAGGAGCGAGTGGTAAATGCAGGAAGAAGATAAGCCCAGAACTGGAGGGGTTTCCTTCCCCAATGGGATGCCAGAGTGAGGGAGCCATTCCTGTGCTTCAACCCTGCAGTTTCTGAACCTACTTCCTTCCCATTGATCAATTTTATTTTATCTTACTTTTCTTTTGCTTTGTGACATGGTTTCTCTACATAGCTCTAGCTGTCCTGGAACTCTTTCTGTAGACCAGGCTGGGCTCAAATTCAAGCGATCTGTCTGCTTCTGCCTCCCGAGTTCTGGAACTGAGGGTGTTTGCCCACCATGCCTGGCTCTGCTTTTGCTAATTATCCTTTCCTCTGGCGGCAGAGATTACCCAAGGAGCACCTCCCAAGTCATGAAAACACCTATCTCAAAGCAGAGGCAGGAGGCAGAGGCAGAGCAGAGGCAGAGAGATCTCAGTGGGCTAGAGGCCAGCCTGGTCTACAGTGTGCTCCAGGACAGCTAAGGCTGCAAGGTGAGATGCTGTCTCAACAAGCAAAGACCAGCGGCCTAGACTTCCTCCCACGTCCCTGCAAGACCTGTACTCACCCTGGCACCTCCAGAGGGCTGGTGGATCATGATTCTGGAATTGGGCAGTGAGTGGCGCATGCCTGGGCTGCCAGCAGCGAGGAGCAGGGAGCCCATGCTGGCAGCCTGTCCTACACACCACGTGCAGATGGGGTTCAGAATATATTGCATTGTGTCGTAGATGGCCAGGCCCGCAGTCACCACGCCACCTGTAGGCAGTGAGCAAGTCAGGGCCCAGTAGGATCCTCCTCCACCCCAGTTCTGTTCCAGCAAAATATGAGCACAAACGTCACAGGGATGGGTGGGTGGGTGGGTGACAGGAATGAGAGGAGGGGTCACAAGGAGACTCCTTCTTTCAGAATCAGTTATAGGCACATACGTACATGGAACCACACACGGCTCTGCCAGCCTCCTCCTGGCTATGAACTCTGGTCAGGTCATATGTCACCATGTAGGCCCAGCCACTCCCGCTCTCTAAGGCACACCTGCCCTTCGTAGATCAGAGGTGAGCATCCTCACCTTCCACTCAAACTTTGTTGAGAAATGAGTGTACTCACTTACAAAGAAAATTCTGAAAGAGGCCCCTGGTCTGACGAATGCCCAATCAACACTGCCCCTCCCTGGGCCGCTGAGAAGGACCAGCCGGTAAGGGCACGCCCCAAGCCTGACAGCCCGAGTTCAGTTCCTGGGACCCACATGGTGGAGGGGACAAGTGACTCCCATAGGCTGTCCTCTGCCCTCCGACACGCACAGAGTGGCATGTACCCAGCCATCTACCCACATACTCACATAAATAAATGCACTCCTAACATTTCTCTTAAAAAATCAGCTATTTTGCAGGGCAGTGGTGGCACACACCTTTAATCCCAGCACTCAGGAGGCAGAGGCAGGCGGATCTCTGTGAGTTCGAGGCCAGCCTGGTCTACAAGAGCTAGTTCCAGGACAGGCTCCAAAGCTACAGAGAAACCCTGACTTGAAAAACCAAAAA